TGGTTATGACTCGGCTTTCGTCTCTGTCTGCCTTAAAGTGGAAGTGCTTCCTTTCTTATCACTGTTTGAAGCTGTATTGTGTGGGACACCTCCCAGGCTGTAGAAGAGCAGGTCGGGTCCCCATCCTAGTACCTGGACCCTGAGTGTCCACCATGGTGAGCCACTAGGCAGGGGTTTCTCCCAATGCAGACTCCACGCAAGCTGTGCCCAGAGCCATGACTCCTTCCATCCTCATTAGTTCTTTCCATATTAGAAATAGCCATGTAGCTGTATTGCGTAGTAGTTACCAAGTTACTTTCCCATATGCTTTTTATAGGTGAGGAAAGGAAGTCTTGGAGATATTAAATAAATGGACTAAGTTCACTAAACTAGAACACGGACTCTCAGATTTCAGAACTCTTTCTACCAGATGAGCAAAATGATGTCTGAGAAAACTGCAGTAATTCTGTTTTTTGAGAAATATTTTGTTCTACTAAGTGAAATTTTGAATATTCTGAAGATAACAGAACCTGCTGCCTCTAAGAAGCTATGTTCAAAAACTGATTCAAAAACATTGCTAAAAGTTTAAAATGAATAAGAGAGGAATCTCCTTGAGGCGTTACTCAGGTCTTAACTTAATCTTGCATCCCTAACTGGTCTTGCTTATTGTCTATTGAGGAGAGAAGTGCAAGGCAGGAAAAAGGGAGGAAGAAGGGGAGAGCAAGGGAGTGCGCTGACAGGCCTCCCTAATATTCCCTTTTTTCTGTTTTTTCTTTGTTTTCAGACTTTCATTCTACTTTTGTGACTTAATGAATATCTTATGTATAAATATTTTCTGTAATTGGGGTACTTTTCATAGGACAAAACATGACACGAGGCTTATAGAATAAGCCTTGTATTGCAGGACTAAAAGCCTAATGCTATTTTGTTAACTTTAGAGTTAACAATATAAGCATAGCATGATGTTGATATTAGTATAGGTATTGATTTTGATATTGCCAAAAATACTGATCAGCAAACAATACTTGTCTTAGTTAACTAGATCAATAGCTTGCATTAATCAGAATTATAATTTTGTCCAAAAATATTTCAGATGCAAATGCAAAAGTCTATATTGCAATACCTAACACACTCTGGAAGCACCTGAACTATTATTGATTTAAATAATTTAAATAATGATGTATCTTGACACTGTCATCCCTCCAAAACACCCTTTTTCAAGGAGTAAGTAACATTTGACTGGCAAGATTTGACCTAAATATATCAGGGTATTGGTAGTCATTGGGAACTACCCCTTCTATTTCTCACTTAAGAGTGACAAAGTAGAAGAAGCATTTTGTTTACTTCCTTTTAATTATGACTAATGAAAGAACACAGCATGTCCAGAAGAGGAAAACACATACTTAACACTCTCATTTGCTACTGGATTAGGAGTGAACTTTTTTGAGAATGGCCTGCAAAGCTTTATATAGTTTTGCTGGCAATACGAAATGGCAGAAGCAGGAGCTACAGGAATTATTACAACCCTTTTATCTGCTCCATGATCAGATGAAGAGCCATTTATTTTGAATTTTGGATAATTGTCAATGACCTTAATTTTTATACTTGAGCTTTGGTGAATGGCCACACCACCCAACCTACAGAACTCATTAATACCTTTGAAATGAACTATTTTTGCCTTTTGTGGAAATGTGCCTCTACCAGGGCATTTCACACTCTTTATGGTTCTTAGGTACCATCCAGTTGCATTGAAAGACTTTATCTTTGAAACTAATTTCCCTTCCATTTCTGACTTCTGGTTTCTTAGTAAAGTAATTCTAATTAGCTGACTTTTAAAAAATCCTTATTTTAGAGTTAGCTTTCATGCCTTTTTCATGGGGGAAGGGGGAGAGAAAAGTAGCATAAGAGCTAATGTGGTACGGTGGGAAGAATACAGGCTTTGGGATCCATCAGAAAAATCAAGATGTCGTTCACAAAGAATCACCTGTGCCACTAATTGTTGATGTGACCTTCAACACATAATCTAAGCTTTCTGAGGAATAGTACAATGGTGATGATATAGCCATTCTGCCAGCTTCACAGGGTTGAGGATGGTGCCTATGAAAATCTTCGAAAACTGTCTAAAAAAAATATTTGTGATTTCCAGATTCTAGTGCCTTTTTAAAAAATTGATTTTTAGAAAGAGGGGAAGAGGAAGGGAAAGGGAGGGAGGAAGAGAAACATTGGTGTGTGAGAGAAACATTGACCAGTTGCCTCCCATATGTACCTATCTGGGGATCGAACCCTCAATCTAGGTATGTGCCTGATGGGGAATCAAAGCCACAACCTTTTTTGGTGTACAGGATGACACTCCAACCAGCTGAGCCACCTGGCCAGGGCTCTATTGCCTTTTTAAAAGTTTATTTATTTTTTAATCGTTACTGTTGAGAGTATTACAGATATCACCCCTTTTTCCCCCCATTGCCCCCCTCCATCTGGTTCCTGCCCCATCCTAGGCCTTTACCACCCTGTTGTCTGTGTCCGTGGGTAATATGCATATAAGTTATTTGGCTAATCTCTTCCCACCCTCCTCCTCCCCTTCCCTCTGAGATTTGTCAGTCTATTCTGTTTCTATGCCTCTGGTTCTATCTTATTCATCAGTTTATTTTGTTCATTAGATTCCTTGTTCATTTATTTTGATTTTTAGATTCAATTATTGATAGATATGTATTTATTGCCATTTTATTGTTCATACTTTTTATCTTTTTTTTCTTCCTCTTTTTAAAGAAGACCCTTTAACATTTCATATAATACTGGTGTGGTGGTAATGAACTCCTTTAGCTTTTTCTTATCTGTGAAACTCTTTATCTGACCTTCAATTCTAATGATAGCTTTGCTGGGTAGAGTATTCTTGGTTGTAGGTTCTTGCTTTTCATCACGTTGAGTATTTCTTGCCACTCCCTTCTGGCCTGCAATGTTTATGTTGAGAAATCAGCTGATAGTCTTATGGTTGCTCCCTGGTAACTAACTACTTTTCTCTTGCTGTTTTTAAGATTCTCTCTTTGTCTTTAACCTTTGGCATATGATGTGTTTTGGTGTGGTCCTCTTTGGGCTCCTCTTGTTTCGGACTCTATGCTTCCTGGACTTGTATGTCTATTTCTTTCACCAGGTAGGGGAAGTTTTCTAACATTTTTAAAAATAGGTTTTCAACTTCTTGCTCCCTCTCTTTTCCTTCTGGCACCTCCATGATGCTAATGTTGGTACGCTTGAAGTTGTCCCAGAGGCTCCTTACACTGTCTTCATATTTTTGGATTCTTTTTTTCTTTTTGCTGTTCTGATTGGGTATTTTTTGCTTCCTCATATTCCAAATCGTGGATTTGATTCTGAGTCCTTTGCTCTACTGTTGATTCCCCGTAAATTATTCTTCATTTTAGTTAGTGTATCCTTCATTTCTGACTGTTCCTTTTTTATGTTGTTGATGTTCTCACTAGGTTCCTTGCGCATCCTTATAAATATTGTTTTGAACTCTGTACCTGGTAGTTATGTTTTCATTTGCAACATACTTCTTTGACTGCATTTTGACTGCTTTCCTATGTTTGTTTTTATGTATTAGGTAGAGCTGCTATATCTCCTGAAATTGGTAGATTGGCCTTGTTTAGTAGGTGTTTTGTAGGGTTCAGTCTCCCCAGTCACCTGTGCTGGGCACTCTAGATGGGTCCCTGTGTGGTCTGTGTGCCTCTATTGCCTTTTTCTAAAGACACCTCTTTTTAAAAGATAAAACTCACATATCTGATTATAGATAACAATCCTGTATTATAAATTTCAAAGTTGCTAAGAAACTAGATGAAATGATAATTATGCAATATCCAAGAGCATTAGCTAACACTACAGTGATAATCATATTGCAATATTTAAATTATCAAGTCAACATCTTAAACTTACACAATGTTATGTCAATTATATCTCAATAATACATTTTTAAAAATTCATGTGCCTACATTTTACCAATTTAAAGTGTATAATTCAATGGCTTTTAAAATAGTCATAAATATATACGACCAGCCTGGCTGGTTTGGCTCAGTGCATAGAGCGTGGGCCTGTGGACTAAAGGGTCCCGTATTCAATTCTGGTCAAGGGCACATGCCCGGGTTGCGGGCTCGATCCCCAGTGTGGCGCGTGCAGGAGGCAGCCAATCAATGATTCTCATCGTTGATGTTTCAATCTCTCTCTCCCTTTCCCTTCCTCTCTGAAATCAATAAAATATATTAAAAAAAATAAAAATAAATACATATATACAACTATCAGCAGTCAGTTTAGATTATCTTTATTATCTAAAAACAAAACTTCCACATCCTTTAGTTATCACCTTCCTGGAACCCTCCATTACCTTTTTAATTTTTACTTTGTGTTTATTTACAGAGACTGTAGTGTAATTTTTAAAAATTAAATTAAGTTAAAATAAGATTACTTGCGGATGACATTAAAATACTGTTTCCTAGGAAGAGTGTCTTTTAGGGCTTTTTAGTTAATGCTCCATGTGTATTGGTAGGATAAGGGATAGCAAGCTAAGTGTTAGTAAATGATATTACAAAGAAGATTACAATCCCCAGTCCAGTTCTATTTTAAGAACCAGAAAACACGAGTACTCACTGTCAGTAGTGAAGTCCTGGTGCCATTGCGCAGCTTGTTGCAGTGGGATAGATCTGTGGGAAGGCTGGGGAGGAAGGGTGGGCTGATGTTTGGGCCAAGAAGTTGGTTGAGAACTTTTCCCTTTACTCAGAGGCACGAGGTTCCAAACCCAAGGAAATCCATATTATCAGGAAGCTGATTTTACTTTTCCTTAACCTTTTAAACATGAGCTTGATTTCATTCAGCAGAGCAATGAAGTGAGGAAGGGAGGGAAAGAGTTGGGGGACAGAGTTACACCTGAAGCCCCTCTCCTTTCCACAAACATTAAGTGGAGCTGGTGAAGCATGGTGACAATCTGCGTGTGCTGTCAACTGAGGAAAAGGAACTCAACCTTGGCCTCCCTTTTGTTCCAGGTCGCCAGATCCCACCCTTGGACCCCCAAGAAAATGGGAACACTGGAGCAATCAAACTTGTGAAGCAAACCGCACCAGCCAGTCGGCGGTGCTGCTGACCGGGCCCATGGCCCCCTGTACTTGAAGAAGCCAGAGCCACCTCCCTGTGCACTGCTGATGGACCCCATTCTCGGTGGCCTGGCACCTCACTTAGAGAGAAGTGAGCACGTTGGCTTGGCATCCTGGCAGGGCTGCAGGGAATGGGACAGGAAATGTCCCTGGAAAAGTATTTGCAAAAACTCTGGAAAAAATACACCACCTTTCATGCATGAAATGCACATGGGAGAAAATGGATTTTAGATAATAAGTATAGTTGAGTTTTTGTTAAAAAACCTTAAAATATTCTCAATTTGTACAAACATCATACTGGCTTATTATGTGTGTGAGATTCTAAAAGTGATGTTCCACTCTGATTTCCTGTGTTCCCTAGCCAAATCCCAGTACCGTCTTCAGTGCCATTGCCTTTGTGAACTAGCCAGCCTTCACTGAAAGGCTAACTTAATTTTATTTAATTTACCTTTTAGTGGAGTATAATTGGATGATCACTGAAGCTGTAGATTTGAGCTGTTATAGAAGTGGGAAAGATGTATTAGAAACTGTTGCCTGCATCTCTGACTTTTACTTGATGAACTTCTTTCTAAGTTTTAGTCATCTGTAAACAAACAAATCAACTCTGACTAAAATATTGCATGTAATTTTGGGATTAGGAAGCGTGGTTTGGAAGAGTCACTTAAGGACTTACTGTATAAGCAGTGACAGGTGTAGGATGTAAATATTACTCCAGAGGTCACTTGGCATGCATCACCTCCATGGCCATAAATTCCTACTCTCTTACAGAGGTTTAACACTACAGAGTGTTATCTTACTAATAGAATGTGTCATGGCATCATCTCTAGGGGGGGAAATTAACTGAAGGATAATAAAGGGCAAACTTTTAATAATAGCAATTAATAAAAGGTTACACGAAAGCCAGCCTAGGGAAGTACCAGCACCTTAAGATTCTAGATCCCAATTGCAAAATTGGAGAAAACATTTTAGAAGATGCCAAGCTTGGGGAAGTAGGTATTAGGGCTTAAGAGGGGTCCAACTCCAGAATGCCAATTAACAGAGTGTAGGCTTTGATTAAAAAAACAAACAAACACCTTCCTTTTCAAGTTCCCTGTCTGCTCAATTAATTAAAGATTTCGGAATCCAAAGGTAGTAAAGGGAGAAAAGTCATGAAGAGGAAGAAAAGCTATTTCCATTCCAAATTCGAATTCTGTTACCATTCTAATTTTCATAAAAACCTAGGCTCCAGAAGCAGTTGGTTTCCTATTAGGACTTATACTGGGTGGTGATTGTTAAAGGATATTCAGATCAGGGCCTTCTGTGGGAGCTAGAAACTGTACAGTAGTCTCAGAAATAGTTAATTGTGCAGTGTGGTCCATGAACATACAAGGGCCAGCAAACATGTATTGAAAACCTACAATGTAAAAGCCAGGAGAGAGGTCATGAGCTGATTAAAGACTTGGAACTTTGAGTAACTCAGTGTGAGCTGCCACGTCACAGTCCTGTCACTTCGGTGTCCCCCGCGCTCTGATGCATAGAGACACCAGTACCACCATAGACAAAAAGGAAGAGTCCTTGAGAGACCAGGGCCAAGTTTACACTTCGTGTGGATGGTAATCAAGACAGTAGGTGGAAATCAGAGATTAAGGTGTGTGTGTTTTTTTTTAACGCAAGGATATGTCTGTTTGATGTTCTTCACCCAGCTTGGAAGAGTAGTTTGACAATCTTAGAAAGTGAAGGCTGTAAACACTTATTTTTGATTCAAAAGTGCCTCCTAGCTCTCCCAGACAGGTACCTCAAAAAACGTTAGCAAGCGGCACTTGGGTGACTTCACAGGGCCTTTGCAGAGGTTTTTAGGGTTTTTCTCTACATTGTCAGCATTACTGGTTACATGATTCTGCTTGCAGGCCAAGCAATTACTATGTTCTTTCCAAAGTTAAAAAAAATTGGAATGAAAATTGAAATGCTCTCTTTCCAGGTTGCATGCAGGCTTATTTTAGAACTGTCCTCGACAACCTGGGTTTATCTCTAGACAGCCTCTCGGGTTGCCTAGCTAAGGTGGTATGCATCCCAGCTGAGTTACACAGCTTTGGTCTGGGTCTTTAGTGGTTGCATTTTGCATAAAATGGTTGGTCTTATCCTCATGTAGTGAGCTGCCTACAAACGAGGCCACAGTTTTATTTCAGAAGCACATGAGGGTGTGAAACCCCTCTTTTACCTTTCTGTACTGCCTTAAATATTCCAGCCAGTCGGATGACTAGATATAATCACTACTTGGAGTAATTGGTGAAGGAGGTAGTGGCATTGGGGCACAGAAGCCTTTGCATAAATGTGGAGTCGTGTCTGAAGGTAGATACTCGAGCCTTGTCCAGGCTTTCTTACCTTCTTTCTGCCTTGAGATTACTTCCTGGCTGTTCTTATAATGGAACTATAGCCAAGAAATATTATGTAAAGTCCTGGAAATTGCTATTGCTCCAAAATGACAAGTAGTTTCATGTGATGTAACAATATTCTTCACATAATTTTCCAAAATTTGCTTCTTTTCCTCTATCCCCCCCCCCCTTTCATGTGTGGTATAATGTGTATTTGTGTAAATATGATTTCATGTTTGTTATGCCAACATATAACCCATTCCTCTGGCTGAGTTTGGCTCACGACTGTGTTATATCATGTAGACGTGGGTCCTCCCTGGGATTGTCTCCCAATGGAAAGGCCTCAGATGGCAGTGGAGTCGTGCAAGCATTTGATGTAGGTGCACAATTGACTTGCCATTTCATGGTTGAAAATGGTACACTGGGGTGCTGAACATGACGTTACCTTGTAGATAATAGAAGGCTGGAGACTTAGAACTAACCCTTAGCCAATAAAATGGCTGTGCCCCAGTGAGAACTGAATTCCTTTTCTGGGGAGGTTTAGATAACTGAAATGCTTTCTCTAAGATTGTGGCATGTGACGGCTGCATTGAGCTCCTTACCGGGGACTCCACTTCCATTGCTCTGCAATGTTCATGGAGAGTTGAGTAATGAGCTAGCTTATAAACGAAAGGGCTCTGAGCTATATTCAGACCTGTTAGGTGTCTAGTTTATTCTTTTTACCATAATTGTTGAAACCAGACCCAGTGATCCTATGCCAGTGCTCTGTTGTGTAAACGCTCCTTTTTCTCATGTTTTTGTAAAGAGCTTCTGTCTGGGCTGGACCCAGTTCTCACATATAGAAGATGCCGCTGTAGACAGTTAAAACCTTTCCACCTTGTATTCATCCCATAGTAAAGCATTGCCCTCAACATTGCCCAATTGTATCTGTTGTTTTGGGTTTAACAACACTGATTCATACTAATAAATATTTTATGTTTTATCATGTGTGTCTTTTTCTTATTATCATGTTCAGTAGAATAACTTTTAAAAATGACAGTCACCTCAGCATAAAGAATGGCGATTCCCCAGAGAAACTTGTGTATCTGTACACATGATGACACAGTTAAAGATGTTCTCTGGCACTGTGCAATAGCAAAACGTCTTCCCTAAGGAAATCGCTAATAAAATGTGGCACAGCCACAGGATAAAAACGATAGGGTAATGTAAATGGGTGCAAAAGCTATCATGCATCAACATGTGTCTCAAAACAGAATGTGAGCCCTGGCTGGGTAGCTCAGTTGCTTAGAGCATCATCACGATACTCCAAGTTGTGGGTTCAATCCCTGGTCAGGGCACATACAGGAATCAACCAGTGAATGCATAAGTGGAACAACAAATTGATCTCTCTCTTTTTCTCTCTCTCTTCCTTCTCTAAAATCAACCTGTGGAGTGCAAGGTCACTATACTGCATATCCCTAAGGGAGCCACTCATAGTGGTCTGTGATTGGCGCCCTTGGGAGCTGTGCAGTGCACAGCCCGAGCAGCAGAGCTGTGGTGTGGCTGAGTGCATAAAGCAAGTGGAAGAAGTACAAAGCATATAAACTTACACAAAACATGTGTGATGTATGATGTTCATAAATGTGTATAAAAATAAAGGAAGCATTCGGACAAACATCAGCTTCATGATAGTGCTTACCTCTGGGGAGGAAGGGAAGTGAACAGGATCAGCGAGGAGAACACAGGGCATTTAACTATCGGTAATTTTATTTATTTCATGATATAAAAATCTGAAGCCCTAGGACAAAATGATAGCATTTGGTAATTTCAAAGGATGGGTTTCATTAGTCTGTATCTATTGCTGTATTCAATTTTTTCAAAGAGTAGAGACAAATAATGAAAGATTAGGCTAGAAAGATTTCATAAGTGTAATGGCCAACTTAATGTACTCAGTACATTTTTACAAGGTTTACTTATTTCCATTTCTTCATCTCAGGTACCCACACCTGCCCGCCAACACACACATCCTTTCTCATAAGCACTTGTGGGTCTTAGGCTTGCTTTCTATGCAGAGCTTCATTTGGCGTGTGGATGAACATGCGGAAAAGGATGTGGAGAGGGAGGAGAGCAGTGTCTTATGTCCTTAGCATTTGAGTCATTTCCCAAGACATATGCTGGGGAGCTGCTTTCCATATATAAGCAAACAAGAAAACCTTCCCAAATCCCTCACCACTTAGAGACCCAGTGTTCTGATTTTATAAGGAAACAAGCCATTATTTTGCATTTACTACGAGTTGTTACACTTGGAGAACACTTCTTATTCAGATAAGGATGGTCCTGAGAGCAAGCCTGATGATTAAGGGAGGTGGGATACCTCATCCTAAACCCATGAGCATCCGTCTCCAGTAACATCTTCTCTAAAGTTTTGAGATGCTGCAGCAACATGGAGTTCAATGGGCTTATGGTACAGATATGAAGCTATCTTCCCCCTCTTTTCCAGTGTCTATTAAAACCAAACAGATAATACCAAGCATTAACAGTTATACTGAAAATGGCTACTCTCAAACATGCTGGTCAGAGTATAAATTGGTACAAGCTTTTTAGAAAGTGACCTCATGACATAGTAGCTGGCTTGCATACGTGTAATTAATTAGTGATATGTACAGACTAAGGTGTTTGTCCTGTATCATTTATAGTGACAAAAACTTGGAATAATTCAAATGCCCTATGCTATGAAATTAATTAACTAAATTATATTCCTAAAATAGAATACTGTGATCATTAAAAATTACAGTATTAGAAATAAGTGTTACAAAATTCAAGGGTACAAAAATTCAAGGGTACAAAAATATACCTCTTTCTATTTTCTGTAATAATTTAATTTCTACTTGATCCCCTATTCTGTCTAATACAGAAAGTGGAATTTAGTCATACCTAGTTTTACCTAAATTGGGGCACATCTGAGAGTGAAGGGGATGCTGTTAATATCAAGATGGGACAACAGGAATAAATCGGATAGTCCCAGGCAAACTGGGACATATGGTTCTTTTGGTTTAGCCTCCTACCCATGTAGCAAGATGGGCGGTAGCACCAGGGAGGTGGGGCAGAAAACTCTGGAGTTATTGGGTAAGTACCTTATCACAGCTCTCTTCATAAAATCATCCATCTGTCCATCCATCCATCCACCCATCCACCCATCCACCCACCCAGTATTTGTGGAGGGCCACCATGAGTCCATGCTAGACTAGCGCTCCCTGCTCCATCAGATATGTGTAATTTCCAAGCTTACAAGGAAAGAAAGATAAGGGGAAAGACAAGAAGAACAAGAATGACAGGAAGGAGAAGGAGATGTTCCATCAAGGGCAGAAAGAGCAGCTTGCCTGGGGAGGCACAGTGACTACTGGGGTAGGAATGGGGCCTTGGGACTCAGCTCACCCCTGACTCATCGTAAGATCCTGAACAAGTTTCTCCATTTCTCTGAACCTCAGCTTCCTCCTGTAAAACAGGGATGGTGCCCACATCACAAGCGTGAGTCAAGATTAAGTGACATCATTGGATAAGGCACCAGCACAGAGAACCTCGTGGCTGTGATTGTGCCATAGCTTCAACCTGTGCCCTGGACGTGGGTGGAGTTCTTTTTGCTTGTCCTTCTGTTGCCACTTTCTTATTTCTGTTTCTTTCCTTGGGAAGCAATGGAGTATAGAGATTAAGATAAAGAAATAAAGCATCAGACACAACCTGAGTTTGACTCTAAGCTCTGTAATTTGCTGGCAGTGGGATGTTTGGCAGATTAATTTCTCTAAGCCTCAGTTTCCTCCAATGTAAATGCAGAAAATAATTCATATATACACTTCTCCACAATTCTGGGATCCAAAAAGCAGAGATTTTTTTTCTCAGTTTCATACGAAGTCATTTGGCAGTAAAACCAGATCTGAACTGATGTGATGTTCTTTATCACCATCATTTATCCCACCAGGGGTGGCTCCGCTGGATGTTCTGTAATAGATGCACTGTATAACTTTAATAAAATCCAAACAAAATTCTTAATTCTGAAAACATCTGCCCCTAAGTTGTCACGTAGGTATTGTGGGCCCGGAACATCTGTCTGCCTTGCAGGTGTGTCATGAGGATTGAATGAGAAGAGGCGTGTGAAGAGGCCTTCCCATTGGGGAGCTCCAGGCAACCACAGGGGGCGCTGTTTACATGACTGGTCAACATTAACTGCACCTCCTGAGTGGGCTGCAGGGGTTTCACTCTGCAGAGAACACTTCTTATCCTCCTGGATGGAGCAAATGCTCAAAAACAATAATAGCTAACACGAATATAGCGACTTGCTATGTGCCAGGTACTGTCCTAGGTGTTTTACATCATATTACCTTTTGTTGTTTTCACCCCCCCCTCCCCCGTATGAGGTAGATATTGTTATCTCCTTTCTACAGATGAGAAAACAGAGGCATAGGGGGTTAAGTAAATTGCCCAAGACCATGGACTAGTAAGAAAGATCAAATTAAAATGTTAGCTACGCCCTGTCCTGGTAGCTCAGTTGGTTAGCGTGTCCTCCCCATACACCAAGGTTGCGGGTTCCACCCCCAGTCAGGGCACATACAGGAATTAACCAATGCATGCATGATTGGTGGAACAAATCAATGTTTTCCCTCTCTTCCTCTGTCTCTAAAATCAATAAATTTTTTAAAAAGTTAGCTACAATTATTTTCTCCTTTTTAATTAAAAAATTTTAATGTATTGAGGTATAATTGACATTTAGTTTCAGGTGTATATGATAATGATTAGATATTTATACTATTGCAAAAGGATCATCACAATAAGTTTAGTCAACATCCGTTATCTCACTTAGTTACACTTTGTTGTCTTGTGGTGAGAACTTTTAAAATTTACTTAACAACTTGCAAATATATAATACAGCATTATTAACTATAGTCATCATGCTGTACACTAGATTCCCAGGACTTAACTAGCTATGTACATATTTTATAACTGAAAGTATGTCCCTTTTGATCCCCTTCACTCATTCTATCCCCCCATCCCACGCCAACCACCTCTGGCAACAACCCCTTTTCTGGCTTTTTTCAATCAATATAATTTGGAGCTCTTTCCATACGTATCAGCATCTACAGATGCACTTTATTTTTTTTTTAATGGCTGCATAATCATCATGATGATAATTAGCATTTATTGAACATTTGCAATATGCCAGCCCTGTTCTCAGTGCTTCCATTTTCTCCTTTCTTTACTCTCATTATAAGTACTGTAAATATAAAGGAATGAAGAAAGGGAAATTCTTGTTCATTGAATACTTCCTGTGAGCTACATACTTTCCAATGGCATCTCATTTTATCCACAAAACAATCTGAGAAGGATGCACAATTGTTCTCATTTGTCTAGAAGGAGCGTGGAGAACTTAACTGACTTTCTCAATTTTATAGTTAGTGGGAAGGGCAATTCCACTTATGCCAATGCCCGTGCTATCATTCTTGCATCTCAGAAGGAAGTGTTGTCTGGGAGCTAAGGGTTAACCAGCTCAGGCTGAAAGAGCTGAATCACTCCATTAACTAGATTTGCTGGTTTCACTGAACTATTTTTCTGATCCCAAACTGCTAGAGTGACTCTCCTGGACCCTACTGCTCAGGCGGCTTGATTTATCTTTCCCATAGCCCTGCCCTCAGTGCTGACACTACCGTTCAGGCCTGACTGAAGTTCTTAACTGGCTTTTTGAAATGACTTCTGCATCAGAGTCTGGCAATGTTGACTTTGTAGGGCCTAAGGCCCTGAATTTGCTTCTGAGTACCCGGTGCCAAACGCGGTGTCCCCGGTTGGGCCTGCATGACCGGAGAGTGGCCAGCTTCCTCTGCTCTCCTTCACCTCGAATTCTCCCTAGATGTGTACCTATCCTCTCCTTTCCTGGTCCTTTGGAAAAGGACCCCAACTCACTTCTAAAGCACGTGCCAAGCTTTCTTTGACTCCTTCCATCTTAAAATTCCCCTG